CTGAAGCGCCTTTCATTCCTTACCGAATTCAAATGGACGAATTCAAATAAATACAGACGTGGGTGTGTGTGTGTGTGTGTGTGTGTGTGTGTGTGTGTGTGTGTGTGTGTGTGTGTGTGTGTGTGTGTGTGTGTGTGTGTGTGTGTGTGTGTGTGTGTGTGTGTGTGTGTGTGCAAGAGTTGGCGGATAGGAGGCAGAAGGAGCTGAGGAGGGGGAGAGAAAGCTGGTGACATTCCAGCATTTTGGTTACAGTTTCACGCTTTATTTTGCTCACAGTGCAGACGAGCTTGAGCGAGAGAAAATAACAAAAGGTCAAAAGGCCTCTTTTTTTCTTAGAAGAGCTGTTTTTTCTTTGTTTTTTTAAAGGGCATTCATTTCTTTAAGCAACAGAGCACAAGGCGGATTCCTATATGTATTCTTTGCTGGCCTTAGGGGTTAACTTCCACATTCTTTTCTCTCAGGTTTATGCTCTCAGTGATGATGACATGTTAACTGAACTGCATCAACAGACTCATCAGCATTTCAAGCAGGAAGTGAACAGGAAGTGTGGATAGTCCAGCAGCACCCTCACAGGAAGTCATTCTGCAACAACCGCACACCATCAGGGAGTGCTGATGCACTTAATAGGGACAAGTTCATCAGCAGTTGCTCAACTCATTTTAAAGTCTGTGCCAGGTCTGAAATTATTCTGATCCTGATTTATTGATTAAATACACAATACATTTCACTCTATGAGGATATATACACAAGCAACGCCTCCCTGACAGTCAGCTCTTCCAGAAAAACATTCAAATGAGTCCGTTCAACAGCTGTCATCAGATGTGTATAAGAGGAGTTGTGTTATTGTGGAAAAATGTATTGAAAAACTCGGATTTTTGCTCTGCAACCTTGGCTACTTTGTCTTGAATAGCTATTTCACCCCCTCGTCATCAATCTGCTGGTAAAGCCTCTGAGCCTGCACATTATGTAACAGTCACTCTAGGTGAGGAACAAAACACCCAGTACTATTCTTTTTAAGCTGATTACTGTCACGAAATGCTCCGATTGTTGCCTTCCACGCATCACTGTGTTCTTTGGTTTACACATTTCAGGTCTTATGTCAGTGGATTTTTTTCCCCTCTTTCTTTCGGCTCAGAGCATACACTGTTCACTCAATGCTAAGCTATTATAGACAGGCGTTAGGCAGCGTCTTTTGCACTCTTGTCACAAAGAACATTCATACAGAACTGGTAGGTCTAAAAGGGCAACAACAGACAACATGTGACCAGCAGGCCAGCGTGAGGAGGAAGTGATGCCCAGCTGTGGACGGCCAGCCTGGGTGTGTGCTCCGTCATGTTTCCTGCTCCTCTTCCCTCGTTGGAGACCAAATCGCTCGTTAAAAAACAACTTCAGTGGCGACTCCCATCATCAAAGCACAAGCGCTTTCACTCTTCCTGGCCGGTGGCTGTAAATCTGCAGCAAGCTGGTCATTGGGGGGATAAATGTTGAGCCTAAATGTAAGAATGCACTCATGAGGAGATTACATTGCAACACTACCCTGTGACTAGTACATACTGGCTAATAGTCTCACACACAAAAACACATTTCCCACCAGAGTCAAGCCATTTTTAAAGGGAACCCCCTGGGGAGGTGTGTAACCCAGACAGAGTATGTGATGTGGGGTGAACTGTTATCACACACAGGAAACAGGCGAGACTGGTAGCCTACACAGGACACGTCCTAAAACAAAAAAACTCCCATTTAAAGCCTTTGTGTATCAGCTGTGAGGGGCCTCTTCCGCATTTGTACTCCTGTTTTGTTTTGAAACAAGTGTTTTGGTCATGGGGAGGCAACAGTCTGCAGTAGTTTTATGGACTTAAGGACAAACGTTTGCGTTTCTGAAAAGTACTATTTTTGGACACGTCAGCAGAAGAGCAGAGAGATATAAGCTAATCTTTTTCCTCAGCTGAGCTCCTATTTAAGGGGCTTTAGGCCATAACTCTCTGCGTCATAACTGTCCACAAAACCCCGGTCATCCACCTGTAGGCTGTGGAAGAACACTGGATAATTTGTGTGTGTGTTCTATTTGCAGAAGATCATGTTTTTCTTTGAGCATCAGTACTGCCCATGACCTTGAACCACAAATGCATAAAACAGTCATTTATTTGTGATTCCTCAAGTTTCTCTTCCACAAAAAGCCTCGAGAAAGAGTCTGTTAAGGTGAGAACGTCAAGCACTAGTCACAGGGTTAAAACACCCTAACAGCACTAAACAGATTTGTCTTGGTGTCTATTTTTACACAGCTATTGAGGCTGACTTAGCACTTTGGTGGAAGACCAGAGTCGCTCTCTGATCTGAGATGAGTACGTTGGCAGAGCTACAGAAAGAGAAACTGCAAGAGAGAGTGAGATCGATATGCTAAAGGTAATTAACACACTGCTCGTAACTCTCATGTCAAGTTACACCCAACATACATGCATACTCACAAAAGTAGAATTATTGACATTTATAGCCAGCCATAACATAAAACCTTCAATCAGGAGGAAATGCAGCACTCAAGATCAACGAGATCAGGAGGAACCGTTGATGTGAAGTGAAACAGCTGTGAGTGAATATATGAGTGTGACTGTGTGGGGGTTCAGATGGGTGAGACTCAGGAAATGTTAGAGTCTTATAGAACATTTGCATCAGACTTTTCTCTTAAGTGAAGGCAGCTGTATGAAGATGAAACAGCCAAGCCAGAAGCAATTTAACGACGGCCACTTAGTAGGAAGTAACATTACATGCGCCCCGTCATGTTTGACTCGAATGCACTGCAGAACCATCATTGCCCTAAGTGTGCGTGTGTGTGTGTGCGTGCGTGTGCGTGTGCTTCACATCAACATCCATTCCTCAGACTGAATGCAGGATTGTAGGTCTTGTCACTGGTTATATGGCCATTGTTTAGGGAGGGCAGTGCAGACATTCAGGAAATGGATGCTGGCGACTCAGACTGTGTGTGTGTGTGTGTGTGTGTGTGTGTGTGTGTGTGTGTGTGTGTGTGTGTGTGTGTGTGTGTGTGTGTGTGTGTGTGTGTGTGTGTGTGTGTGTGTGTGTGTGTGTGTGTTTGTTTCAGTTGGCCCTCGAGACAACCTCATTGCCCTCCAAAACATACATGCACACACAAACACAGAGACCCTAGCTTAATGCAGGCTGCCCAAGGGCTGCACAACATGGGAGCAATTAAACACCGTCCTCTCTTATCAGCAGCCGACTTTCTCAGGGAAAGAAAAAAAAAAGACGCTTGGCTGTCATTGGGAAAACCATCGCTTATACGACAGGAAGTTATCCTTCTCCTCGTGTTTATTTGTGGCCTTCCCATTTCCTGTCAAACACACAAACGCTTTGGTGGCACTCAAAGGCCGTGTAAATACACACATAGATCCTACATGATGAAAAGGACCGGCACTAGCTCGCCCACCAGCATAGTCATACAATTACACAAACTGTTTAATTACAAAGTGATGTTTTTGCTAATAAAACTTAATTAAAGCTGTGATTGTAATCCCCTTTGTGTTGATTTGATATTTTGCAAAGTTTGACAATATGCTTAAACGCTGATGATCATGTCAACATTGCATCACCGAAAAAAGATGGACACAGCTTAACAAGGGCGTGCGTGTGGAATGCATGTAGCGAGATCTGTCACCTTCTCTTGTTCAGTAACACTATTACAAGAAGCCTCTTCTCTCCAGACTTCAATCAATAACTTCAGCAGAGCAGCAGCCACCAGCTGTCTAAGCGGCTTCTCTTTTCACCTTCTCTCTTTGCCTTTTTGGCAAACACCACCCACCCCACACTTCCTGTTACAGTTACTGTGAACAAGCACAAAAGAAGATCCACTCAGCGGTTGATTGACAAGTGACTCTGAAACCTCCCCTGGGGAAATGGAGCCATCGGTTGTAAGGTTCGACTTAAAAGGCTCCTCGACTTGGCCGACCCCCATCCTCAACCCCCACTAGGCTCAATCAATGGTTCCCAAAATGATGTTGGAGACCTCAGTAAAGTCCATGCTGAAGAATAGTAACATTTTGCTGTTACTTTGTATTAGTTGCTTCACATTTGCACATCAAGAGAAGATGTAAGGATACCTATTTCCACTTAATCTTCTTATAAAAAAACTCTCATTATGAGCAATTGGGATTCATTAGCTGATGACCGGCTCTGAGAGGGTGTGAGTCAAAGACCACCGCCTCAGCTCCGCACACTGCAAAATTAGCATGATTGCAGACCTAGCCCCAATCCCATTTAAGTCATGAGTGCCAGCACAGACACATTTGTGTGATCTCTCCCAATCTGCATTTGGTCTTGGCACAGACAATCGATGGGCTGCTAAAATCTCCTGATACAAATCCAGGAAAGCTGCTCTGCTGCCCAAGCTCCTGGGTGCATTTCCAACAAAGGCAATGAATGACACAGCTCTGAAGGAGAGCATGTCTTTGTGCCTGATTCATTTGCAGAGGTAGGATTTTCTTTTAAAACACCACAGGCCTCTGCTTTTCAAACCTAGTTAGGGAGCTAGCTGAGCCATACACATGCAATATGCTCACTTATGATTAGGTGATACTGTAGGTAGTTGCATGTGAGAATGATAATTCAAAAATGTGTTGGAGGAGAAACGCCCATTCTCCTCCCTGCACCTGGCTGCAGCTGTCCTTGTCACTCCACCCAATGTTAAATGATGAATGCAAGCCTCTGCTTCGCACAAAACAGACCAATGCTGTGGAGAACTTATGCCCTCAACATAAAAACAATCATATGGAGATAGCGTGGTGCTGCCACATGCGTTTCCTTATCAATACTGTAAAGAGCACCACCCATGTAGATTATAAAACCAGGTGCTCTTGTCTGTAGCTGTACAAATAAGGAGTGTAGTAGGTAGTGCATTAAGACTATTGTGCAGCATGCATTTAATTGACCATAAGGAGACACATACACAATGTGATCAAATCATTTGCAGCAGACAGACGTCGGAGGCTTACCTCAAAGCAACCGTCACACTACAGTCATTCTGGCTCGCCATTATCGGTTTCAAGGTTCACCGATGGGATGTGCAGTATTTCGGATATGTTGTGTGTTCTGTGTGTGTGCACCGGAGGGAGCTGGGCGTCTCAGGTCAGCGGGAGCAGCCGTCAAGACCTGCTGGCGGTGAGCTGCCTCGTCGGGACTCCTCCTGCCTGCTTCTCCTCCGCCGTGGCGCTCATTTCTGGCTCCCTGATGTTTGTCATATCGCAGAGTTTAACCTTGTCTTTCCGTGATCTGTCTTGTCTCAGTTGCTACATCCTGTTTGAAACGCGTTTGAGTGAAGCATTTGAGCGCTCCTCAGAAACCACACCGCTGCTCTGAGAGACGCGATCACGTTGAATCCATGCTGAGAGACCGTAGACTGGAGGGGGTAATGCTGCCTTCAGGACCTGTCGGATATTTTGAACCCACAGCTCTCTCAGGCCTCTCCCAAACTCCCCATTAAAGAGGGGTTTGTATGGAGGATTATTTCGCCCAGAACTCAGCCACTCTCAATCCATTACCATGGATACCGATGGATGCAATTCTGCTGCTTGTTGTGTACATACAAACACATCCCCAAAACAGAAGCATGTGCAATGTGGGCACACAAAAAAAGCACAAGGAGAATTAAAAGGGGGGCACAGTGGATAGAGCCTTTGTATAGGGATCAGACGGTCACAGGTTCAAACCCCACTGCAGTCAGCATGTCGTTGTGTCCCTGGGCAAGACACTTCACCCCAAATTGCTCCTGTGGGGATTGCCCACAGTATTGGGCGTCTAACAAGTAACATGTAATGTAAAATCCTATACGTATAGTGGTAGCTTATCCATCAATTTTATATATCACAGGAATAGATTTGGGGGACATATTAAAACAGCACTTGACAAAACTGATGCATCAGGGGCCAAGAAAAACCTATGGGTCGAGATTCACAAATCCTTGACTCTACATTTCACATAATGCAACTGGATATCATATTTTATTAGATCCTCAATGCCCACATAGTTCAAACCATAAGTGCAACATTAGAAAAATAACGCCCTGATGACATCATCATTTTAAACTTTGGAAAGCTCCATGCAAAACCACACAAGACATTCATCTATTTTAATATTTGTAGTTGTAGCCTACTCATCCTCAAAAATAAACTGAATGTGTGGTGCCCAATATACCATAATAAAAACTGTAGGCTTATATTTGATATCTAACACATGATTTTAATGGGGTACTGACACCACTTGTTTCTGAATGCAAAATAGAGTGAAAGTAACGTAAAAAATGTGTCAGTAAGTAGCTCAAACTATCACTGAAAAACAGCTGTAACTTGTATCTAAGATCAATTCCACCACTGCACAATGATAAAATAAACGAGTAACAAAGTGATCTTTTCAAATTAACTTCCCTCTCTAACTCTAACACAATATTTCGAGGAGTCCCTGAAAGCAGCATTGATCGCTTTCGACTGACATGCATTTGGGCAAATTGCTGGGTTAGATCCGCCTCCATTGAACATTAGAGACCAATCAGTGGCTCGACAGGCCTTTGTGTCCCCGCCCAGCGGCACTCCCACATCGGGCTTTAGAGATCAGTACACCTACCGCTCACCGACTGCTAGGGGCCACATCTGAGGTCTGTTAAACTGCCATAAACAGGGGGGCACTGTTCCCATGACAGAAAGGAGGGTTAAAACGCCTTTAGGTCAAAGGTTGTAAATGCAGGGGCTATTATGTTTTAGCAGAAGATGGAGTTCCTTTTCTCTGGTTTGTATGGTAAGTTACACTCTGCTCACTTCCCTGTCCTGCTGAGTCAGATTTCTTGAAAAGAGGAAATCCTTTCTTTAGTTGAGTCAGACAGCCATTATGCTTTCTTAATTTCTCTCTCTGAAATATAATTTCAAACAGGATTTAGTTGCATGACCCGGCCGTATACAAAAACAGTAAAGCCAAAGCACACTGTAGGCTACAAGGTTATTACAGCTTGCAAAATGGTTAAAACATTTAACAACCATGACAACAATATTTTGTTGTGTAAATATCAAGAAAAGGGATCACAATCTCTCTCTTTCTCTCGCTCTCTATATATACTGTCTTCTTGTCAAATCTGAATCTATACCTCCAAATTGTGTCTCTTTCTCTCTTCTCAATTCAGTTTCCTCTCACAGCTGTGTCTGTTGGACTTCTTTAATCGATCCATCCAAATGACTTCACACAGTGCCAATGCAGCTGTCAGTGCTGTTGGCAGTGTTTCAGCCTGGCAGGATTCAAAATCTACACTTGCAGAGAAAACTCCAGTTTTTCCCAATCCTCATCCTCGTCCACATTGTCTATGACTCATATTCAAACAGTTTGCCAATGACAGCCATGTCTAAACTGCAGCAAGGTATTTCCCAATATAACACAAACACATTTAAGTAAACTATTTCACAACTCCAGAAACATACCACATGACATGGGTTTTTATAGGCTTACATATAGTAGTATGATCGTATAGACAACAGCTCCGACATCAATTGATAACAAACAATTGTTTCTGTCTGAATGCGAAAAAAAGTCTCAGCACAGCCCAAAACAATCACTTTTATGTAATGGATCACAGATGATTGCATGAACTATAAACCCATTCTGTGTGTACTGTACAGAGGAGTTTATGACTTTCAAACGTTGTGTTTCTGTGTGTGTTGGTGTTCTGAGGACCAGGCGGCGATGTTAGTGCTTCGTTCCCCCAGAAGCCGTGCTTGATTCCACAAGATTAACGTCCAGTTATAAGGATAAAGTTACAATCCTCCTAGATCTGGAACTGGCCTCCAGCAACAACAACAATGGTGCACACAAACACACACTCGCCTGTTTTCGTCCGGGGAACTTTTAAGACCAACTCTTATATAATTAGTCTGCACTGTGCCCCTAAGCTTATTTATAAGTACCTTTCATTCCTCTTTAGGCATGTTTACAGTTTTCAAATCCACTCCAAATGATTTGTTCCCCGCATGCCAACTCCTCAACAGCACTTTAATACAAGTATTTCATAACCGTACTGATAGCCTCAAGATATTTTAATATTGCAATTGCCAAACTGCAGCATAATCCCTATATTTAGGGCTTCATATAGTCAAAATGACAGCACCCTGATTACATAAGAGTGTTAAAATACAATAATTCCAGCTGCCCTCGGGTTCTAGCAGTCACGGTGAAGTCAGCAATTCAGTCTGCCTCTTTGGATTTGATACCACACTTCTAAAGCAACATGTGCGCTCTCACACACACACACACACACACACACACACACACACACACACACACACACACACACACACACACACACACACACAACTTTCCCATCTTCTCATTCCTCCAGGAGGTGATTATATCCTGACCCGAAAACAAGATGATGACTCATACCCTAAATGTACTGTTATCTCTTCAAAGCTATTTTTCACTTTTTTGGAATGTATGATTCTGAAACAAGATATATATATTTATATTTTATGACAAATAATGTAAAACACACATAATGCACCGAGAGAAAAAGCATCCACTGCTTAATTTCCAGCACAATATGTGATTTGCGTGTGTGCAAAACCCACATAACAGCCTTGTAAATTAATCAAAGAAGATTAATTTGATGCCAATGTTCTCCACGGTTCTCTTTCACTGCTCTCTGCATCACATTACCTATTTCAATGGAAAAGACCAGAAATAAGAAGAGATGGAAGACGAAACTGCACCCTAATATATTCTGAATCTTTATTCTTTGATGTCTCTATAATCCTTCGCATGCATTTTCTATATTTGGCTTTGAAGCTCCATAAACTAATCCCCTATTCTTTACCGTAACAAAACTGTTTGAATTGGCCAAGATTACGCAAACACACACGACTCAGGCCCTTGCAGAGAAAGAGGAGCACTGGCAAAAAAAAGTTGAATACAGTTGTTTCACGTTTGGTCTAATAAGTGTCTCTCAAGATTTGTAATGGTTTCTATGTTTTATAATTAAATGCGTGTGACAGGAGCTGTTTATGTGGTTTAGATTTATGGTTGCAGCTGCAGTGGCGTGATGCAAAGCAGGTCCTTGGACCCCCCACAGTGCTTCATCCCATCACCCTGCAGAGCTCTGCTAACAGTGAGTAGTGAAAGTATGTGATTCATGCAAGCTGGGTGTTGAAAAAGAAAATTACAGATATCATACATCAACAATGTGATGATAATTTAGGTTCAGTATCATGTTTGCGTCCATGCCAAACACATTTAGATACATTCTGTTATTTGTTTTAATGTCAAGAGTTATTTCATAGACTGATATACGTAGATATAGGGCTATAGCCTAACAGCCCCTCTAAAGCTCACTTATTAACAATTGATAATCTAATTAGTTTATTCCTGGAGTCTTATTGTCTCCATTAGCAGGAGACTGCACCAAAACAAAAACAATAGCCCTGCTCATAGGCCCACAACAATCATGTTTTAGCATTTCTATACATAATATTGTATAGATATTTACTGTAAACCTATCTTAAATTAGCATAAAGTAATAATATATGTAAATGTGTCATTTTATTTAGCAACAAACATATTTAAGTACTTTTTGATTATATGATCTCAAAGTAATATCTATAAACATGTATTCTCTTTTCTCACAGCTCGAACTAAAGAAAGTTTTTAGAATGTATTCAATTGTATCCTGCAATGATGATAGCTACAGTAAATATCATTCTATGTTATTGATACATCTTCCAGGGTAACCACTCTTTCATGACACATTTTCTATTCTTAAACATGCTTAGAAAAAGCAATGTAGTGTATAGCCTACTTTCAGGATGCATGTACAACAGCCAAGAAGAGCCTGTGTCTATCATACATGTATTCACAGAGAGATCGCCATTCATTGGCATAGGATGAAACAGTAGTGAGCGATCAGTAATGAATCATGAACATGATCCCCTGTAGGGAAGACCTACATTTCAGCTTCTTACCCCAGGGCACACGCTGACCCACACTCTGCACCGTTTCTTACCCAGGCTCGGATGCTTCCTGCTGGGCTGTGACCGGGCAGGGGCTGGGGGGGGCTGGAGGGGAGGCTGGGGTGGAGGCTGGGGTGGAGGCTGGGCGGCTCATAGTGGCTGCTGCAGCCTCGGGGGGTTTCAGAGAGGTACAGCAGCCACACTCATTGATGGATTTACTGCTGCATCACATGGCATCAGACCAGTGTGCGTGTGAGTGTGTGTGTTAGTGTGTGTGTTTGTGAGATGAGAGGAGGAGGTCAACAAGGAGTGGTTGTTCTGTGGTCCCCTGCCCCAAGCCCTTTGCATGCTGTTACTCACACTTTCACTAATAAAGTCCATGTGTGACAGCCGATATCCCCCCCACCCCCACCCAAACACACACGCACGCACGCACGCACGCACGCACGCACGCACGCACGCACGCACGCACGCACGCACGCACGCACGCACGCACGCACACACACACACACACACACACACACACACACACACACACACACACACACACACACACACACACACAGCTGCACCAACTAATTTAAACATTAAAAAATACCCCAAACTTTGGTACCCATCATGTACAGACAAAATACACCAGGGTGGAATATGTAACAATGTTGTGTATAACAATGCAGTTTTAAACATTTATCCACATTTTGGATTGAGGAAAAAGTCCACTTTCTGAAATCCTATTTTGTTTAAGACTTTTTTTGAGAGACAAATTATGAAAGGGGGGAGATTGAGGGGATGAAACACAAAAAAGGAGCCCAAAACATGTGGCAGCCCTTTAAACCAGAATTTAACTGAATATAACAAAGATTTCAAAGAGCTTTTCACTTACTCATTATAGTAGTGATCTGTCTCTAAACTAGTATCATTATCTAATCATTTCATGTGGTTAAATGCTCTATCATCTTGCCCCATCACCTCCTCACTCATCTCTTAGGGGGGAATCCTGCGACTTGTTTCTATGGAAACAGCCTCTAAAGAGAGCAGGCAGAAAGGGACAGGAAGAGATGCTGAAACGGCAGAAAAGCCTCTTTGTGCTCTCAGAGGCTCTTAGATCGCCTAACGAGGGTCTAAAGGTTCAATCACACACACAAACACACAACTTCTACCTCAGGCTAATGGGAAGATACTATGACCATCACCAGCCTTCTGGATGTCACTTGATGCCATAAAAGCTTTATAAATCCTTTACAATACTCTGTGTGTGCACATTGTTGAATATATTGCATTTATTTACAACATCTACCATATGTAAACAATCCAGTAGTGTCTTGCTCATGATTTGTGCCATTTCACTGTTAGGAAACATTTAAATGAATGGATCCATTTAAAGTGCTGTGACTAAAAGGTTTGATCTCATTATGCATTCATGGAAGAAACCCAGGCATGCACATACACACAATTAAAACACACATGTGCACTTGAAGGCAAGCAGTAAATCCCAGCAACACACAAGGACACACACAAACACACACAAAATCTCACTCCATTTTGTATCGGAAAATTGAATTGCTGCTCTTGAATAACTTGATTATAAACAACCTCCCTCACTCTGGGGCGGCATCACTTAATAAAGCTAAGTGCATTGACACACTCATACACACACAAAGACACTGCAGATCTATATATCAACCACCTATTACATGAACCACATCAACAACAACAAAAATATGAAGTGGGACTAAACTGAGATGAGCAAACATCACTGACATGGGACATTAGGGATTAAAGGTCAGAATTCAGGCTCTGAGATTATTACATTATTCAGTCAGCCAGGGGATTGTGCACTTGAGTATTGGCCGATTAGGATCTCAAAGCTTCCAAGAGGTAAAATGTGTAAGCTATAGTCATGTGAAAGGGCTTCTTTAAGACTGTACATCCATATGTTGTCACAGTATGTGGGCCAACGCATGCTGCTGTGCTGTGGGGAAATAATGGCATGTGACTGTGCCAAAAGTGCCACAAACAAGAGTTTTAATACTGCTTTGTCTGCCGTAATAAGTTAATGTTGCGTGGATAAATACAACAGATTCAATAATGCATCAGAAAAAGGAAGAAAAGGTAACATCCTCTTCTACTATAATCACAGTTACATTTATGGGTTTACTGGCCAATATATTTCACAGGGGGGAACTGTTTTTTCTGCTCTATTTATTGAACAGCTATAGTTAACAGTCACTTAGCAGATTTGACAAAGGAAAGGTTATAAAATATAATTCATTGTTATAGATTTAACAACCCAAACATAGCTCCACCTCAGCCAGCCACAACATTGAATTGCTAAATACACATCAGTAATAATATTAGCCAAATAATGTAGTGCTTTGGAATTTCAACTAAACATACATCAGTAAACAATTAGAATATTTCTATCACTGACACTTGACACCAGCACTCACCACCACCAAAACCCACAAGACCTTCACGAGTACAAAAGTGAAACCCCTGTGGCTTTTTATGGTAACACATCTGGGATATATAGAGGTACAAAGTGCAATTCCTTCTGGTTTCCTAAAGACTGTAATTTAGGTGGTAACGGAGAAACATGTTGGTTAAACTGAAGCTCTGTACCTCCATCTAGTGTTAGATAGGCATACTAGTAAGTTTGTCTCTTTCTATTACTGGCTCAGTCTTTTGAGTTATAGAATAGGCTCACATTCCTTACAACAATAATCACATACCCAGCACATGTAAACAGTTGTTGTTTGCAGCAACTGTTCCATGTGTTTATACTGACTGTGAACAGGAATAACACACTTAGTGATGGTAGTGATTCATATCCAGCCGTCTAAATCAGTATAATCATGAAGGTGTCTGTCAAAGAAGTATTGTTTGTTCAAAAAGAAGAAAAAAGATGATAGAATATTACAGAGTTACATTGAATATGAGTATAATTTGAGTGGACAGACATTAAAACATGAATCTATAAGTAAGGCTGACCACAATGCTTGGCTGAGTTGCTGTGCATCTGCATTACAGTTTCTTATCTGAACAAATGTGTGTTGGTTGATAAAAACAAAGAAATCTGAAATAAAGAAGGAAAGTAAATACATCCAATGCCCTTAAAAGTGAAAGTGGGAAAACCTTGCTTGCCACCTGTGTTACTCTATTCTGCAGATCTTGTAACCATTAAATATTCATTACCTGGAGAGGAAAGGCACCGCTAGCTGATACAGAGGGGAGGAACAGCCATCCTCAAATTCACACACTGAAGAAATCCTTTACTGCTGCTATGGTACACAGTACGTTAGTTTATGGAGATGTATGACTTTTGTGGTGAAATTAGTGAAGTTAACCTAACTACATAGACACTTCTTGAGGTCATATACTCTTGGTCACTCTTTAACAGCTTCACAGAAGTAAGAAACACCAAAAGAATTTGACTTTTCTACTTTTAAGACCATCCAAGGGCCTTTTTTTTTTTAAGCCCTCTCTCTCGCCATGCTCCCGGCTGTTGAGGCCGCCAAAATCTACCACACCAACTACGTGCGTAACGCCCGGGCCGTGGGGGTGCTGTGGCAGGTGTTCACCATCACCTTCGCCGTCATCACCGTGGTGGTGTTCATACAGCCCTACTGGATCGGGGACAGCGTGCACACGCCGCAGGCCGGATACTTTGGCCTCTTCCACTACTGCATCGGGAACGCGCTCACCTCGGAGCTCACCTGCAAAGGGAGCGCGATGGACTTCGGCTCCATCCCGTCCGGTGCCTTCAAGACCGCCATGTTCTTCGTGGGGATCTCCATGCTGCTGGTGGTGGGCAGCATCGTCTGCTTCAGCCTCTTCTTCTTCTGCAATGCAGGGAGCGTCTACAAGATCTGCGCCTGGATGCAGCTGGCCTCCAGTGAGCCCCGTGCACGGTTTGGTTAACGTTTGTAACTGTGTAGCACATGGAAGGTCCTACTAAAAAGAGCTGGAGTATGATTCACATAAAAACATACTTTAGTTTTTCTCACATATAGCCTCTTGAATGAGATTTTGAATTGTGCATTACAATCCTAATGTTCTTTAAAATAGGCAAGATACAACATGTCATAGACAAAAAATATGAAAAAAACATAATTGTATTCTTACAAAGTATAGCTCCACTCCATATTGAGTTTCTTTATGTCTGCACACAAGCATACTTGTATTACCACACTAGTGAGAAAGGTATGCCACCCTAATAACAATTAACCTTAGCCATTGTTCCTACTTTACCCCCAAAGAAAGGACCCAACCAAATGTCAGTTTCTGAGTTCCAATGAGCTGTTTATTTTTTAAACAAGTCTTTAAGTACTCCTCAGACAAGTAGGAAATGCTACACTGTAGAAATACGTTGTCACATGTCAAAGTATTGTATTCAAATGTTTACCTCACCAGTTATTCCTAACTAATGTATCTAATAATAATAATAATAATAATAATAATAATAATAATAATGGGATTATAAAACACAGGTCCGACATCTCCATCCCTGAAGTAAAAGTACCTAAAGTTGTTACATGTTGTGGAGTAAAAGTTCAATACATTTCCTCTGAAATCTGGTGGAGTTGAAGTTTAAAGCAGCATGAAAGTGAATAACTTGAGTCAATGTATTTTCGTTAATCAACACCACCGAACAGAAAGACAAGAAAACGCTCATGCAAAATCCACATAGATTTAGATATTTGTTTTGTAATATGTGAGTGGAATATTATTTAAGCTTGGGTACAACATCCAGCAAACACATTTCAGTAGTTCCCTTTAACAGACGCTGCTCACAGAGGAAAGTGAAACACGATTCTGTTTCTGAAACATGAAGCAGCTTGTGAACAGATGTAGCTGTAAGTGAAAGGACAAGCCTGTAATGAAACAAATAATGAGATTAACCTTGAGGTGTGCTGTTACACTTTCTCCTCTCCCTATGTGTGTGTGCGTCTGTCTTGTAATTAGGGAACAGACTTGATAAGTGAGTGTGACAACTTTGTGAAGGCGAAAGTGTGTGTGAGGCTCAGAAAGTGAAAGTGTGTCTCGTCACCTGATAGTTTACGTGGCTACTGAGGTGGGACGGCACGAGGGCGGCTGTCTTTCTGCAGAGTCAATAATGGATGAACAAGGTCTCTGGAGTTGGGATGCTCTGGTGTTGCTAGGCAACTCACCTGCATGTGCAAATGTGTGTCTTTATGTGTGCAGCTGAATGAGTGAAGAATGTATTTCATTTTCTTTCTGGTTGTGTTAGCATTGCATTTTTAAATGGTGGTTGGTGATATTGATGATGCACAGCAGAAATATTGAACCAGTTAACGTTAAATATATAAACATCAAACAAAATTCTCGTTGTGCAGAAATATTCAGATCCTTTTCTTAAGTGGAAGTTAAAATAGGCCTACCACCCTGTGATAATAATCTTCCATTGAAAATTGTACTTATTAAAAGTCTGTAATATGTTTGAAGGAAACATTTAAAGAACTTAAAGCAGTTATACTATTTAATAATATCTAATTAGATCTAAATTCATCAAGTATGTTTAAGAGCATTTGTTGTGATAATTTATATTATGTATTAATCTCAGTGGAACTTTCTGAATGTTTTGTTTGTAAAACCAAGAGTTCTGATCTCAAAAAGTATTACAACTTAAATTACAATTATTAAAAGGAAGAGCAGCACGTGTCTGTAAAAGCTGGAACAATTACGTATTTAGTGTATTTACACGAAAAATGACAAACTGAAAAAAAATTGTTTCAGCTCAACTTGTAGTTACTGTTGAGAAGTTAAGCCTTTTTATATGTTTGCATGCAGAGCACTTGATTTGTAAAGTGAGAAGTAACTAAAGCTTCCAAATACATGTTGTGCAGTTAAAGTGCAACTTTTCCCTTTGAAATGTAATGGACATGTATAAAGTGGATTGAGAAGAAAGTACTTAAGTAAAAGTACTTTTTGTACTTTTTCTACAGGTTTACCATATCAAAACCCTTGTGCGTTTGAATAAACAAACAGCTAAAAGTACCTGCTTTTTAACTGGATCTCATCACCCCTCTGTCTAAGGCACGTGCATGGTGATTGGCTGCATGATCTATCCTGACGGCTGGGACTCGGAAGCGGTGAAGCGCATGTGTGGCCAGCGGACCGACAAATACACTCTGGGCAACTGCACGGTGCGCTGGGCCTACATCCTGGCCATCATCAGCATCATGGACTCCCTCATCCTCTCCTTCCTGGCCTTCAGCCTGGGCAGCCGGCAAGACAAGCTGCTGCCAGAGGACTTCCAGGTGGAGGGGAAAGGTACCAGAGTGAGGGGGGGGGAGGACAGGCCGGAGGAGGGTATTAGGGTGGATGGTAAAAGAAGAGCGGGGGTTCCAATGGAGAGGACATTATGTAAAAGGAAGGAAAACGGTTGGATAAATGTTTTCAGAGGGATGGGCGTAAGGGTTAAAGCAGAGACTAAAAGTTCAGACGTAAATATCTCAACAACTATTTAGTGGATTGCCATAAAGTTTTATAAAGACATCCATGGCTTTAATGAATCCTACTTATCTTCAGACTCAAGCATGTCAAAGTGTTCACTTATTCAGTGAAACACCTCAACATGTGCTTGATGGGTTACTTTCCCTCTAGCACCACCTTAAGGTAGACATTTTAGTTTTTTTATTAAATGATCTCAACAACTATTGGAAGGACTACTGCGAAATATGGTACATTCATGTTCCCTGGAGGATGAACTGTAATGTTTAAAATGTCATGGCCATTTCCACTGATCATAATTACATTGTTGAGGTCTACTAGAATAGATTTATATTGTGCAATTTTCCAAACTCACATTGGTTTCTCATACAGCATCTCTGTAAACTACGTGTATTCACTGAATTTCACTCTCTGCTTTTAACGGCTCGTTGGAGCTCCAATAGCTCCAGCCCCCACCCTCCCTGTGAGCCCAAACACTCATCCTGAGCACACACAAACTCACATCCGAAGTAAAAACAATAAGTGTGGCTTGATATTGAGTAAGAAAAAGGTTGATAAACGCTGTGAGAATGGGTCTGCAGAGAGAATTTCGCCGCGATCCCAACTGTCTGTTATCAGCCTGCAGCCAGGGAGGAGAAATCAGCTGAGCTGCCTGCTCCCTGCACACAGATGTGTGTGTGAGGAAGTCCGCTGTCCATTTGGACCAATCAGCGGGGGCTTAACGTAACGGCTCCGCGGACGTAACGTAACGGCTCCACGGATTGGTCCATTTGGTTCCGGGGTACCGCATGACCGTATCGCGTCATAGCTCTGGGTGTGGCTACTGGGTATCCAGACGTCACGATGCCCAGGAAGAACATGAGAAATCTCCAACGAGGCGTTTTGGGGAGGTCTTTTCCGTGTTAGAGTTTTACTCGCTACAGGGTGTACTTTGAGGGTTTTTGACTCTGCAGACCGTTTACATGCATAAAAACCTTCATAACACACAAGGGGACGGGTAACAACCGGAAAAGCATGACATGGGACCTTTAACATCCACTGTCATTTCACCTCGCATCATGAGATCAAAAGTAGTTTTTTCCAGTTCTAATGATATGACAAGCAGCATCCTACTTTTTGTTGAGTGCTGTTAACGGCTAATAGCTAACCATGCTTGCTCTTCTTATATAGTAGGTGTTTTTGTTCAATCTAGAATGCCGACACAAATCTATACTAGTGTCTGACAGATGCAACACATCTCCTTTTCTTCTATTATAATGTTTTCTCTTAACTATAGACAACTTCATTTCTCTCAACTTCAGATAATGCCTAGGCCCCCTGTGGACACCGGAGGGAAGAGATGGACGAGACTTCATGAGGAGCGCTACGGACCCGAGATTCACACGTACTGCAAGGCTTCAGGACAGTTAATTACAATCTTTAAATAACTCGCCATAAAACGTTCACCCTGTCCTTAACATTGTGACATCTTATTAACTGACTTTGAAAACATGCGAGGAGTCACTGTCCACCTCATGACTTCATGTTTTGTTAGTTGATTGCTACTGTATTTTTAGACTAAAACAAGGGAGAGTTAGTGCTGTAGATTTTTTGCTACAGCTCCTTTTTACTTTGGAGAGAATAGTTATACATTTTATACAAACTCTTACAACTGACACCATTCAAATTAAATATGTTCATCATTTGACATGCAAACTAATAACCGTGGCGTATTTAAAGAACCATTGGGAGTTCTTTTATGGGCCCCTTGTGCTAAGAGTGCATGGTAAACTACTAATGCTTTAGTCCTATTGGTAATGGTGCACTTCAGCCTATAGTGGCAGAAATTAGTGTTACCGCAACACGCTAAAAGTATCCATAACAAAATCACCTGTTCACACCGCTTTGACATAAGAGCAACATCAGAAAACTCATACTTTCTGGATTAGGCTGGACATCCTAATAAAATATTCTCCAAACAGTTCTCTAAATAAACTTGGGTCATGGATCTGTTATTGCTTTACTGTATGGTCCCCCATTAGATTCCTAATGACGTGTGTTAATACAGACTTCACGGGGATGTATGTCCTTGTGTGTTTATGTGTTTCAGAGAACAGGAACACTGCAGTGGTGAATTATGAGGAAGATAAAAGCTAGTTAATTTTGAAAAATGTTTATTAATATTACCTAGAGAAAATGAACAAAAGAAGAGCAGTCATGGACAGAAGTAGGAGACTTTGTAGAAAAACAAGCAAACATGGGCTTAAGAAGCTTCAAAGCATTACTACACCATTAGTTTTTAGTACAATCTTCTGTTTTCAAATCAAACACCTCCATGTGCGGCTGAAACCCTAAAAACAAAGCTTTCGTTCCTCGAGACATTTTCAAAAAGTGTAAAAGAAATAGCTTAACTCTTTAGTTTGTGTCTTTAATATACAGAGCAGAGAGGGAGAGACTAAAGGAAGACTCTTTGGTGCACTGCACTTGTAGTTTGATTTGACTGTAAAGGGGGAATATTATATTAAGCCTTTCTTAACAGGCAAAATATGATGGAGGTATAAAAAGAGCATGAAGGTGTCGTCTTGTGCATGATGTAGGAAAGGAATCTGGATGTTTTTCCATGCTATTTTGTATACAAGGGTTTTTTAAGACAACATAAGATAAGGATTTAAACGAAACACTTAAAATATCTGAAATTACACAGTTTGGAGTTCCTGAAAAATAGAGTGAGATTTGTGACTAATATCTTCAGAGCCTGAAATGTAATGATGTAGTCTTGCCTCTGTATAAATGTATAAAAGTTGTATTTTAACATAGCTAACTTAACAGTGCTAAGAACTCTACTAGTCTCTCATCTTGGCCATTAGCGTTACGCACTGATCAGTTCTGAGCACTTCTGAGCACAGCTAACACGACGACATGTCATTAGTCAGACTCATCTCTCTCCGTTTGACAAAATAAAAAACAGTATGTGGTTTTGAGGGCAATGTTAACATCGTGTCGCCTTCTGCATTTGTAGAAGAGCAACCTCAATCTAAATGAGACAGTTTGTTATCTATAGCTAAAAATGCAGAGAATATTATGCTGCAGAAAAGAGAGCTGGAGTCAAGGAAGAAAAAGAGCAAGGCTGATAAGTCCTTTACAGCCAGTAATAAAAAAGAGCCATAAATATAGGAAGAGGACCAGGATCTCATTCTATCACCAGTGTAATCCAAAAGAGGATAAAGACTCCGCTCTTTTTATTGTGTGTTTGAAAGTGTGTGTGGGAGAGGAGGATGCTGGCACAATGCAGTCACATGTGTTGACTGTACGGCTCCCAGCCCGGGGTCTTCAGACCTGATGTCTCCCGTTGTTCAGCGGGCCTCTAGCATGTGAGCCAGGCGTGGGCGAGGCACTGGGCCGCCGTGGCCCTCCTCTCCGGCACCAGGTCCAGCATGGGCAGCAGGAAGCTGCTGAAGGTGTGCGCCTCGTCTTTGGACCACTCGTACTTCTCTACCAACACCTCCATTAAACCCCACGGCTTCAGCTTGGTGATGTGCCGCAGGTCGCCTGGGAGGAACAGATCACATTTTGACATCAGACTGCAGAAAAGCCATACGTGATGATTGAGATTAATTCTATTTATGCGTCTATATAGGTTTTATTTTTTGGAATATCCTACTTACTTTGCCATTTAAAATTGTAAATATGATATGTATTATATAGGGTGCAAAAGTTTGTATTATATAAATATTGTGAAAGTGTTATTGGTTGGCATGAATCCACTACAGCACCTCCATGAACTGGAAATAGCTGGACTTTAATTTGCACGTTCTGCCCTCACACTGAGCAGGTGGCCGTTTGGAAAGATGACCTTTTGCACCAGACACCTGAGCATATTTGAAGGGTTAACTGGATGTAGTGACAGCAGACAGCTGGTGGCAGAGCGGGCGTGTTTACCTTTCTTGGTGAAAAACTCCTTGGAGTATTTGCCCGCTAAGATCAGCTTCCTGGGAACTTTACCGAGCAGCTCGATGATGAGCGCTATGTGATCTACAGGGAGGAAGAGGAACACACACACTGATGATTGAGCACCAAGGGAAACAGACCGGACGTTTTAGACTCTGTAGAGTTTACACTATAAAAGGCTACAACTTCCCATGAGAACCAGGCATTAACACTCATTTCAGCACGTCTCGTCTATTGGAGTAATGCTCTAGTTAAAGCCTGATATCGGACACACACTGACCTTCATCTCGCGAGTAGTCTTCTCCAGAGTGGGGCTCAAACAGGTAATCTCCAGTCGCCAGCTCAAAGGCCTGAGGATTAAAAACACACATATATGACCTCACTAACATTTAAATGGTTTGGTCACTCAGGTCAAGACCCTGGTTCCCTTACTATAGCTTATTGTTTAACTTTGTCTTAGAATCAGAATCAGGTTTATTACCAGGTAGGTTAACACATACGAGGAATTTGACTTGGTGTTGTGGTACATACATACAAATAAAACAATTAAAACAGATAGAAAACAATTTGAAGAAAATAACATTAAAAAAGATAGTAAAATATAGCAGTATTTACATTGAAATCGTAGAAATTGAATAAAATATGTGCACTAATGAAAAACAAAACAATTGTAAACATTGTGTGCATTAATGTAATGCATAGAGTTGGTGTCCATGTGATCACAAGCCTTTATTTGTAGGATGTGGCTTCATTCTGAGGTTCAGCCACCTGATAATGCATTTCATTTATGGTGAACATGTTTTTATTTTTCCTTCGGGTAACTTTCTATATATGCAATCTAACACAATGTACATAAATTGTGTTTGATTAGTTACGGAACATTAATGTAGGGCTGTCCCGAATACCATTCTTCGGGCTCCGGATATTCGGTAGTAATCAGCAGCGAATATTAGGCATTTATGTATATAACCCAATTTGTGTTCTTTGAAATTGAAAAGGATATTGCATTGTGTTTGTTACACTTAAGATACAACTGCAACGAAAGTAAGTTGGCTTGGCTTCCTATTTTGTATGGACATGCTTTTATTTTGAAGGAGAGTTAGCGCTGTTGACAGGAAGTTGTTGTTGCTATGGAAACAACGTTACAGATTAACGGAGAAAAGTAATATCTACATTGAAACCAGAATAGTACTCCAACGAACGAATATTCGGGTACAGCCCTACATTAACATTTCCTTTTGGCTAAAAAAAAGTATTTCAGTAGATAAGATGCCGTTGGGGAAAAATGTAAATGCATTTCCTCCTATTGTGGTCAAAACAAGTAGGAAAACAAACACAATCCTGACCAAAAACAATAACATTGCAGGTGCAAAACATAAAAAGGCTTTGCAAATGTTTTGTAGGCAAGAATGTGCATATGAAAGGTTTTATGAAGCCTGAATGATATCAATGTGATTTGACGACAAATAAATAAATTGATAACTCTACATGTATAGAGTTTAAATGACTTTTCTTTCTTGCAGAGCCCCTGTAGAAATATAAGGAATGAATGTGATCAACACTGTGTCTGTGTGTCTGTGTCTCTGTGTGTGTGCGTGTGTGTATTACCATGCAGGCTGTGCTCCAGATGTCGGCTGGTGTGCTGTAGCCGCCTCCCGTCAGCACCTCCAGAGAGCGATACTGCCGTGTCTGGATGTCATCGGTGAAATGTTTGTGCTGCGAGAAGAGGAGGAGAGGAGTCGTGAATGCTGATGCACACGGCACTAATTGTGCTGGTGTTTACAAAGCTTTAAAGAGAGAGCTGTTCAGAGTCCTTTATTGAGAAATACAAAGTGCTAATGTAGATTTGTACTCACCACCCAGCAGGCGTTGCCGAGGTCAGCGATCTTAACCTGCAGCTTGTCAGAGTTAAGAGGGTCCAGGGGGTTTACTAACATATTGCCTGATGATCCTGTTAAAGAGAGGAGAGGGAGGCAGGGGAGAGGAGGTGGGGGTTGGGAAGCAGGAGGGAAACAAATAGCAGAATAATGAAGACACATGGGAAACAACCAAGGAAAGTGCAGTCTTTCCAACAATTGGGAATCAAAGTCCACTGTTTTCATTGTGTAGACTGAGGCTGCTACTGGAAGGTTCTTGGTTTGCAGTGGCAGGGTTATTATGGATTACATTACAGAGCTACCCATGGAACTGCTGAGCCAATGGGCCAGGATGATACATAAGTATTAACACTATCACAACATATTTCTGTAAATGCTTAATCTTACTAGAAAACGGTACAACCCACACTTAGTGAGCTACTCCAGCTAAAACTACTCATTCTCATTGTATTGCTTTCATGTGAATAATAAGTCAAATTCTGGTTCATACTGAAGTGCATGTGCTGTAAAATGTGATATCAGTGTGACAATATATTATTAATAAACCATGCTGTATAAATGTAATCTATCTAATGTGATATCATATCCAGAAATGACTATGAAAACTCAACACAAGTTTCCTATGGCTTTATTTACGTTCTAGAAAATACACACAATACATATGTTCTGTACAAAGTTAAATAATCAAAGGTTAACTAACCATCCTGGCTGTCTTCGTCTTCCTCCACTCTTTTGGTGTCCTCCCCCTGAGTGTCCATCTCCTCCTCCTTCTTCTCCTCCTCATCTCCTCCCTCCTTCAGCTCCACGGTGACGGAGTCGGGGCTGAGGGAGGCGGGCTGCTGCTGGTCGGGACCCTCGGCTGAGCCGTTACAGGTCTGATGCTCCTCTTTGTTACTTAACGTGTCCGGGGTCTCTGTGTTGCTTCCTGCTTGGTTAGCATTCTGTTGGTCCTCCTGCTCCTTCGCCTGCTCGGTCCCTTGCTCCTCCACACTGGCTTCGCTCTCTGCTGCCGAGGCGTGGCCGTTACAGTTCACCTCCATCCCGCTCTCCTCCTTGGTCGCATTGTCCCTCCTCTCATTTACGTTTGGTATCTGCTGGGGCTGTTCCTCTGGAGTGGGGTCTGTGGTAAAGAGACAGTGGGGGTTATTTGACTCTTGATATCCCTGATTCTTGACACCAAGGTAATAAAAACAACAACATTCATTTATTTATTAGAATTGGTAGAAGGGTTTTTGTTAGGAAGTTAAACGGATCACAATTTCCTGTCTTAAGAGGTACTTTATAATCCTCTCCTTCAACCAACTTTATCGGTTCAAGTTCCTTACAAAAAATGAAATTTGACAACATTTGAACACATCATGATAACGTTAAATAATCTACCATTGCCCAATATGAAATGTTTCTGTGTAGAAGTATCGAACGTTTGTTCACCGCCCTCATTTCTTGTAGACAATGAAGACATTTGAGGGAAAGAACAGGGTGCACAGATAGAGTTTACTGCATCACATTTCCATTGTCACTCTTGAATCTCTTCTCCTGACATCCTTACCTGAGTGGACATGGTTAGCGATGTCCTGCAGCGTGGCAGACATGGAGAGGGTGGCTGTGGAAGTCGTGTCTTCAGTGGCCTCTGTCGTCGTGGCCTCTGTCGTCGTCGTCTCCTCATCCTCCTCCTCATCCTCTTCTCCTTCAGCCGCTCCTCCCTCCATCTCCTGGATCCTCTTCTCCAGAATCTCTGCCTGCTTCCGCTGCTTCTTTTTCATCTTCTTCTTTTTGTTTTTGGACATTTTGGCAACCTTGGGAAAGTAAACACAAGATGAGGGAAAGTCTAAATGTGTATTCTGACTTGATCCTAAGTGTATTTAGTCAAAGAAAACACAACTTACTGGTTTGGGTGCGGGGGCTGTACTCACTGTAGGGAACAGGAAACATCAGAGGAGTACGTTAGTGACTGACACATGGCATATCCTTCGCCTCTCTATAATTAGTTTTCTATTCAGGGGCTGAGTTGATTCACACCGAGCTGTACTAATAGTCTGCGGCGGCACCCGGCTCAGCAGGAGTCTCATTTCCATAACCAATCCAGTGCTGACTCATACCGACACACGGCTAAGCGTTTCACTTGTATTAGAAACTTCCACTTGCTTTAACGCACAGAGCATATGCACACTTTTGGACAGTTTGTGCCTCTTGACAATACAATCTTAGAAGTAGGGTAATAGCTCACAATTATCGTGTGAACCAATAGGGTAATAAACATATCGTCATTGTAGCTGCTGATACATCTCAACAGCACTCCCCTGTTGTCAGTAACATGCTGATCAAACCACAAAAGTTGCTTAGTGCAGTGCTGAGGAGAAGAGAGACTCTGACCTGCAGAGCCTGAGGGGGGGGCAGCGCCGGTCTTCTGCCACTGCGTAGCTTCAGCAGCCATTTTCTTGATGTAGGGCTCGTTGACAGTCAGCAGAATGTTCTCTGGTTTGATGTCTGTGTGGATGATCTTACACTTGGTGTGGAGGTAGTCTAATCCCTGAAGAACCTGCGGAGCAGAAAAGTCAGTGTCACAATGATGGATGTTCAGAGAAGACGAGTACTGGCTTCTGAACATACATAATTCTCCATCCATTAGGAGCTGACATTGCACTTAAACCAAAAAAAGACAAAAAAATGTATCCCATAGGTGATATTTAAAAAATCTAATTGTTTCTTTTGTAGATGTACAGTACCTGTCTTATGATGCTTTTAACACAGGGTAGGGGCAGGCCTTGGTAATTAGACTTGATGATCCACTTCAGTAGGTGATAACCCAGAACCTCAAACACCATGCACACATCTGAAGAAGCACAAGGTTAAGGACAAACAGAACATGACTTCTCAAATGAATTTCAATCCCCGGTGTACATAAGCGTATAACGTTTACATATTTTCAGGTTCCACCGGCTGAATAATCATCAGTATATAACACAAATATGAACTTCAGTTCCCAGAGGATGTCTGGGCATGTTGCCCGGGCGCACAGCTGTAGACGGGCGGCGTGGGAGAGACAGGGAGGGAGCAAGTGTTGCTGCATCGGGACTGAGGCACTTAAAGACGTGTTAAAGCACACAGCTAACTGGACGTCTATGAACGACAAACAGCCTGGCATTACTGTATGTGAGGCTTGCTGGAGATTTGAGACTGCCAAATGACTGTCACTCAAATTGAATCTTGTCACTGCCGTTTTCATTCAAACTTAATAATTCTGGTTGAGATATGTTCACCGTTTTTAAGGTAATGCACACAAATGTGGCCTTAAAGCACAAAGTAGTTTAATCAGATCATTTTGTATGTGTTGCTGTTTCCATTATCCACACCCTGGCCGTCTGATTAGATGTCAGTAAAAGATGTATAGCATACAACATAAATTGATAGTGAATTTATGTTAAAGTGTATTTTAGGAACATATAAAGTGTTACTTCTTAACAACAAAGGATACGAGTGCCATTCATGCCGGAAATTTTGAAGTCGTCAAGAAGCTGCACCACTTTCTCTCTGCTGGGGTCACTGGGATCTGTGTTTCTCACCTGGAACACACACACAGGGTTGTAAAAGTCATGAGTCCTGGAATCATTGGAGCATAGTGTAAGTATTTATCTCACAATGACTTTGTGACTTACAGATTTGAGCAGCTTGATCTCGTCCAGAGCTGTCTCTGTGTAATGTTCGGCACTTTTCACCACTTTCATGGCCACAAAGCACTTCTCCCTGAAAAACACAAAAATAATCAGTTATTCAACTCATCACAACAACATGAACTTGTTTGGAAATATCTATCAAGTGAATAAATGACAGTATCATCAAAGCTCTCTGTGTACATATCCATAAAACGTTTAAAGGCCATCCGAAGACATTTTGTCTCTGCTAATGCACCAGGCACTAAATAGAGCCTATAACCATGATCTATTATAGGACCATGACACTCAACACATGTTGCCCGGGGTTACAGAAATAAGTGCATAATCTATAAATATCACATATATAGGCTGCATCATGGCTGACATTTATGACCTTCACTATCTTGACCATTACATACCACTTCTCCGGAAGTATTAAATTATTAAGAGCACACTTTTTTGCAACGTAGCCCCATGGTTTATTGAAATCCACTTGTGACCTCGGCAAATCTGTACATACAGTTTTCATTTAGAAAGGAGGAAACTTACTGGATGTCCCAGGCCAGCCAAACGGTGGAGAAGTGCCCCCAGCCCAGTTTGCGGATCACATGGTATCTCCCGTGGAACAAATCTCCAATCTTCACATGGTGATATCCACCTGACCAAAGAAAAGATGCAGATTAACCCAATGATGTTGTTTTGTTTATGAACGCTGAATGATGACAGTGTATCTGTTGATATTAATTTAAAAAACATTTAGATGTACTCGGAATGAGATATGAAAATGTTGTTTTATCCATTGTAATGGTTAAATAAGGCTTGACTGCAATATCATTGAAAAATAACTATTTATGTCTTATTGCATCGGTGCTACGTTTAATTGGCTTTTCACCACACTAACCCCTGCAGTAGTCATTGGGGTCTTCCTGCTCATCGTCATCAGAGCCCAGGATCTCCTCGTCCTGCTCTGGGAGGGGGGAGTCCGCCTGGCCCGGCTGAGAGCCGCCTCCCCGACCATGAGGCTCTGGTCTGAGTGGGGAGACAAACAGAGAGAAAGGGATGGTAAGGGAGACGAGGAATCAAAAGAGACATTTCAAAAAAGGAAGGAATTGCAAAGACGGGGGTGAAAGACATTTGATTGGCTCACAGAGAAACATAGAAATCGTGTGACAACCAGAAGAAAGAGTTTACATTCAAGGATGTGCTTTCAAAATGTAGTCATTTTCAAAAAGGCAAGACATTTATTCAACAAGCTTACAGAATGGTTTCCTCCAGAGGAACTCATAAGCAAACCGTGGATAGGGATACATTTTGTTTTCACCCAAAATACAAGCAAGCAAAAATGGTGAGCCTGTTTTGTATTTCTGCAATGACAGATGAGCTGTGTAAGCACAAGGCGGCAGAAGAAATCAATGAAAAGAATAGGCTTTGGGGAGTGACTACACTCAGCCAAGAGATCAGGGCAATTTCACCAAGATATCAATTAGTGTCACTCAGCAAATGTATTTATTGTAGTTGTAGAGATATTTGTTTCTTTTAATAAGGCGTTGACATGAGACATTTAAAGAGACTCTAAGAAAATAACTGCAGAAAACCTTTTTAAATAAAAATAAAAAACACCAGGAAATGCAAATCTCTATAAAGTCAATGTATTTGAGGTACACACTAAAGTAAAGAGAGCACTGAATCATTGCAGTAAGTGGATGAGATCAGCTAAATGTCTGGTTAGGAGAGGTGCTGCAGAGAAGGTCATCAACTCCTAAACCCTTTCTCACCCCGACTCTTCTTCTACTTAAAGGGCAAAAGGCAGACTCGGTGACAGAGCACTTTACTAACACCTCTCTGCCTGATGAAACCTGAACTTATTTACATTTTATACAAACATTAGTGCGTAGATCTAAAATCAGAGGGTATTTGCTTTTAATCTTTTCCATTTTTCCTTTTCATATTCTCCTGTGACTTTCATTTGATTGATTTCCACCTTGATTTACCACACAGATAAACTATACATATGAATAACAGATTTTAATGTAGGGTTATATATCGTTGATACACATTAGCTTTGAATCAGCATGTTTTCATTTTGCTTTGAAGTGTTCTTAAGCGTAGATTACTTACTTTCGTTTGAATAAATCCACCTGAGAGACATTAAAGCATATATCTGCAGTGGAATTTGAATTATACAAAATAAATTGGTTGATTATGATCGTGTGATGGTGGTGCCACTCAGCTTCATAATAATTCACTGCTGGCTCCTAGGAAGAAAGTAAATAGAGGGAAGAGGTGTGTGATCTTTTTTTTTCAGACCTACCCACTAAATCTGGAGCATCGCCACGAACACAAATGCTATTAAACAATGAAAGTTCTTCGACCAAGACCTAATATCATGACATATTAATTGTATTGCTGAATAACGGATGGTGCTTACACAATGCTTAAATGAGCATGTTGTGTTGTGTGAATCTGAACAAAGTGGAATGAATTATTAAGTTGTTTGCGTAGGACAACCCATCAGAGACCGTGTTTCCATGATTTAGGTTAGAAATCTAACGAGTGAAACAAGAGGTCCCTGCAGAGGAAGGTGCAGCATGTAACTACAAGCCGTGCACCAGGAGGGAATACAGCTGCAACAACAGATACTCTACCCAAGTGGTATTAAAGATGCAAGATGAGACTTAAATATATTGTCTCACATCGTAGTTTATGATCTATTAAGTAAATGCCTTGTTTCAGGACAAACTGAATATCCTCTGGTTTCTTTTCCAATCCTCTTGGTGCTGTCCATGGTGCTGAAAGAGGAGACTGCACTAACAAACATATCTTCTTTAAAATAAGAAATGTAAACAAAGCAGTCACAGCTAAGAAACTTGCTAGCAGCCCCTGCAAGCCAATCAATTCAACTTTAAGCACACCACAATCATGCCTTCATATGTTCAGTCAATATTAGATCAGTGGCTAAGAGAGGTCATCTTATATTCATCACAGACTTGGTGTACTCTTTTACAAAATCTTGCTATGCTTACAGCAAATAGCTTTCTTTTTATTATCTTTAAATATAGATAAGACAAAATCTGCCCATCTGTTTGTTTTTGTAATCAACAACACAACGTCGCAACACAACAGCTGTAAAAAAGGAATGAAGGCGGCATGCATCAAATACAAAATCTGGACAGATCCGTGGATAAATTAAAAAAAACTAAGAATCTAAACAAGCAACGCTATGTCAATACAGAGCATAGTTATCACACCGTCTGTTTATCCATCTTCTTAGTTGGAAGAACAAAATATCAGGGACATGGTTCTTTAAAATGCTTTTATAGCCGCTTTCACACTTGTTCCCAGCACTTAGCACCCCCATGGAACTAAAGAGCAGATTCTCCCAGCAGCTTCTACTGAATCCTTCCGAGTAAATCGCCAGAACGCCGACACCTCCTTATCTCTACCGCTCCCATGTTTTTTTTTGTGTTGCCATAAGTTATCCTCTCTCCGTTGGTGCGCGGGGCTAATGCTAATAATGCTAATGCCAGCAAATACAATGGCGGCTTCACAAAACTTTTCAGAGTTTTACAGGGCGTGGTTTGCAATTCGCCCAGCCAATCAGAAATTGGAACTTTTTTCTCCCTAGTAAAGTACCTGCTCTCTAGCAGGGACTGAAAAGGGGGAAAGGTTCTCATGAACGAAGTTCTCTTTTTGGTGTGCACGCAAAATCCCAGGAACTATCGGAACTAAACGGGAAAAGTACGGGGAAAAGTACTCCGGTGTGAAAGCGCCTATTGTATAACTACTGTTTATTGTGTACTGGGGGGTTAAGAACAGACATAAATCCTGTTCTCAGCCAGCAGTGCAGACAGATGTTGACTTCACGAACGCTGTTTTTCCTTCATTATTTTAAATGAAAACACGATCTTGCAAACAGAATCTCATTTAAATGTTTCGATGACAAAACACATCAGTCCTGTGTGCCTTGGTGTTCCAGTTTCAGTGTCAAACAGTTAACACTGAGGAAGATGTTGAGCTAATTAAAGCTAGTCACGTTATCTCTTAAGCTGTGGGACTTTGCACACACCCTATGATGAAAAACATGTTACTCCAAACCAGATGTGCTGCAATTGCTTCTAAATTGTGAAAGTGAAGACAAAGAGGTATCTGATTGTTTTTGGTTGATGGTACTTTGTTGTGAAGTGCTTGCAAACAAAAGTTGAAAGCCATTAGGATTAGCATGCCTAGCTAATGAGTTGATTGGCTAAGGTGTATGCTTCAGAAGAAGAAGGACAACTTTAGATGCATGTTCTCAAGCTTACAGAGCGGTGTCATGCGAGGCCGCCTGCAGAGCTCCGGTTTGTTGACGTTCCTGAAGGGGAAAGGCTATTATCGATGCTGAGCTGAAGTCAGAGCTGAAAAGATGTTTTAATAAACCTTATTTCTTTCACAACAGATAGGCAAAGAGTTCAAGAAAGAAGAACAATTTGAGTAAGGATTATTTTTGGAGCATTATCATTTCAGGGTTTTTGATGCTACACCAATATCAAAACGAGAGTAACTTTATTTGTTATTGTTGCCAATCTCCCATACATGTACTGCATGGGAATGATCTGCGATTATCCAAATATTAACTTATAATTTGCTGCTGATATATCTGTCTGGGTCACTTGTGTAGGAGGCATCCTTGAAAATCGGAGACAAAAAGACTCGATTGTTACTCATTCTGTGATAAGGCTTCTACAAATGTTACCATCTGTTGTCAGATTTTTCTCTCAAAAGGAAAATGTGTCACTAAAGAGGGAACAGCCTCAAATGATGTTCTCAACCAAAATGTAGGTTTCAGTCTCCTTACTTCCGACAGCAGTCTTTAAGTGATTAGACACTAAAAAGACTTCGATGATTTTTGGTTTCTCATTTATTAGAATTGAAATGACTTGAAGCAGAATGTGCAGCCTTCAGCTTGACTGTGATAGTGGCAATGACTTGCGTGAACTTTGACAGTTAACACACCATGTGACAAAGATGGAAAATAACACTGCATTCATTCATTCCCATGCAGTGTGTACAACTATACAAACAGTGCCAAGGTCAGCCTCCTCTCATCCCTGTCCCCTAGTGCTTCAAAAATGAAAGACCATTCCTCATTCCTATCCTGCTTGCTGTGTCATTAATACTCAGACACACAAGGTTCAGAGTATCGATAACTGCAGTGAGCAGTAAGGAGTGGGCTGTAACTGGGCTTCAGTATACTGGTTATTTTGTTAAAACAAGTTAAGAAAAAACATTTGCCAAGCACTGATCTTTCAATAGTTTCCTTCCAAATACGAGATGATTAATATAAGCCAACATAAGCTGATGAATCTCATCATGTTATTGCTAAAAAAAAAACACAAGACAAAAGTGGGAAAAGTTTTTAAAAACACCCAAAAATGTCTTAAAAAACATTGACTTAAAGGGCAAACAGCATTTTTACAAAGGGTCATGTTCATTCATGTCATTAAATATAGACTGTTTTTAACTTTTACATCACAAGACCAAAGTGTACTTTGTATATGTATATGTTGACTAACAATACAAATACTACAATCTCAAGAGTTTTACTAGACATATTTATGGTTCTTGATAAATATGACTTGAACTTAGACAGCTTTTTTAGATGCAAAATCTATGAACAAAAAACTGACAAGTGCACCTTTTGTCCCAGGACAAGGACTAGATCTAAATATAGGCTGGATGCCAAAATCACAATTTTTAGTAACAAGAGAACAGAAAAGGAGATTTAAAGACCGCATTGTGGATGTTAAAAGGGACAATCTCTTCATAAGAGAAAAATTATAAATAAGCAAATACGCATCAAATAAAACTGCGTTCTCACATGAAATGCCCACGGACTGCAGATGATACTGCGTTATGATCAAGCATTCAAGTTTTTCCCTCAGTGCGGAACATGGACAGTTGGACAGAGACAGTTCAATGACCTCCGATGGCCAGACCCCCAACGGGAACAAAAAGAAGGATACTTGAAGGACTTCTGCAACACTCTGAAC